AAGAGACACAGGGAAAGGGGGTGAAAGAGGCAGAGGGGGAAGAGAGAGAGACAAAGAGGGAGAAATGAGAGAGAGACACACAAGGGGAGGGGAAGAAAGAGGCAGAGGGGGAAGAGAGAGACTGGAAAGGAGAGGGGAGACACTGACACAGAGGAGCAGTGAGGGGGAGAAAGAAACATACAGAGTGAGTGGGGGAGACAAAAAGGCACACATAGGGGCAGTATATATCACTGGTGGATGGGGGGCAACTGCTCTCATGAGGGTGAACTCTAACCCTGGAGCTACGGGCTAGAGTTCACTCTCACCACTTCCTGGTGGTCCCAGTAGTAGGAGTGAACTCTAGCCCCATACACACACTGCCCCACACACACACCATACACATTCACACACTGCCCCCACACACACACACACACACCATACACATTTACACACTGCCCACCCACACACTGAACCTTTCACACACATTGCACCACTGCTCCTATACCCTACTACAGCCCCATATCCCAGCAGACTCCAGGTAAGTTGTCAAACTGTTCTTAAACGGTTTGACGACTTACTCTGGGAGGGGGTGCCGACGCTTCTGGCACCATAACCACTACACAGAGGAGTAGTGGTTATTGTGCATGGAATATTTCTTTAAATAATCTACAAGTGCCCCTCTCAGGCTCAGGCTCTGGATCCGCCACTATTATATGACATGTATATCAATGTGTGTATTAGTTTTATATATATATATATATATATATACATATATATATATATATACACCTATTATATTTACACATATTAATGTACATTTATAAATGCATAATACACAGAGAAATGTCATTAATATGTACCATATGTAATGAGCAGATATTGGCTAGGTGCATACTCCAGCACAATAACATATTTAAAGTGAAGAGCACACCCACAGGACTTCAAAATAAACATTGTTTCCAGTTGTTTTCCTTGCATTTATTGCTGTAATGATTGTCATTACAAATGGTTTCTGTATTGACATGTTGCATGTATATCTCTTTACTGTTAAGAAAATCTTCTTAAATTGCAAAATCATGGAGATCCAGAACTTTGTTTCATAAAATACGATCTAGAGTAGGGCGTCTAACCTCAGTCATGGAGACTGGAGTCCAATAACTTCTCAAGGGGAAAAGGGACATTGTTCATAGCAAGACATGCTGTTCCATAGAAAAAAAAATGAGTCAGCAAATGTGCTTCACCGTTCTAACTTAGAACAAGCACACTGTATGCTCTTAGTGGCAGACAACCAGAAAACAATTTCTATATTTAGTTCATTGTGTAACCTCTCGTAGCAGCATCTTAAATTTTAATGAGCAAGTTTTCCTCCAATTGACGGCTGCTGGTGTTTGAAATGACTTTATGTATATGGGAAGTCCTGTTCCTGATTCAAACGATTGTTTGCAGTAGATAAATAGTGGCAGCTTTTTCCCAGTTCACAATAAGAAATGGAGCACATTATAATATAATTAAAGGGGGAAACTTGGTTTTATTTTGTTCATCAAAGCATCCTAGAGAGCTGAAATGACTATCAAATGTATTGTTTCACCTGTTTCTTCAGCCATCTATAGGACTGGCAGTATAGGATATTAAAATAATTTTTTGGGTAATACAACATACTTTTTTTTCCATTTTTCTTGTTTTCACTATATTATCTTAACATTTCAGTGAAGTGACTAGAAACCTGTGGAGCTCTAAAAGAATGAAGCATTTTAGCATATTCTATTTTATATATTTAGATGGGGATTCAATTACTTACAGTCCTGAAAGTACTGAATTCCATAGCTCCGCTGGATGTCCGGCCTGGCATTTCTCCATATGATCTTCATGGTTTCCTTCATGTGGTTTAGGTCATTTAATGGTGTCTTGAAATACCCGGGCTCTATAATGGACACTCTAACCCCAAAGCGTTTTAACTCGCGTCTGTAATTATACAATGGGATATAGAGCAATATTTTTTTTTCTTATTTCCATTACCTGCACTACAATTTTCCTATATAACAAAATTAACGGTGAGACACTAAATTCTGATGAAACTTGTAGATTATCCCTTTTACTGATTCTCTATAATATTTGTAACAGTTTTCTTCATGAGTGACACAGATTAGATATTTACCACTGCACTCAATGCTAATGAATTAAAGAGACACTGTAGCACACTGAAGTGGTCTGGTTTCAGTGCCCCTGTCTGCTTAACCCTGCAAAGGTAATTATTGCAGTTTTTAAGAAATTGCAATAATAATTACCTTGCAGGGTTCACTGCACCTCTAGTGGCTGTCTAGCAGGCAGCCACAAGATGGACTCTCGGGTTTTTAGTTGACTTTTGGTTGCCTGACTGACGCTGGACTTCCTCACGCTAGACATGAGGACATCCAACATCATCCACAACCCCGTAGGAAAGCAATATACACGCTTTTTTGTATGGCAGAATCTCTAATGTAAGAATGGCAATTGCTGCGCACCCGCATTAGGTCTCCCTGCTGAGCGTAGGCAGAGCCAAAGCCTTTGCCGAGGGACCTTGGCGCTGGACTCATGTAAGTGTCAAAAGGGGTTTTAAAAGCCTTCTGCACCACGGGTGGGGGCCACCAAAAAGAGGGGTGGAGGGGCACTATAGGGATCTATAGTGCCAGGACACATATTTTATATTCCATATTTAGTATAGTACATTTCACCTCGAGATCGAAATATTGTAAGAGCTGTATTTCCTATGAGGAAAAAAGGGCAGCTGTCAATAGCCCAACAGAGTGTAAATAACTTTATCCTCAGCAAAAATTGGTTTAGTAGGTTGAGGTAACATGGACATATGCAAAGTTAGTCCTGCTAGCTAGCGAATGTGTAGAAAGTGTCTTGATCAGAAAAAATGTATATTACATTTGAATGTTGTGCTCCACTGTTAACCTATTAACACCCAGCGAGTACATACTTTTGACTTCTGATCAATTAATTAAATGTCAAGAGAAGAGGGGACATATAACATTTACAAAATATTCAAATAATACATCTATCTAGAAATTATTAAACAAAAGTAGAGCATATTTAGAGGGACACTACAGGCAACAACCAGATTTTATATTTTTGATAGTTGCATGCTTAAATAATTAGTTTTTTTACTTTTTTATTGTATGCATGCAAATTATACAGGGAGTGCAGAATTATTAGGCAAGTTGTATTTTTGAGGATTAATTTTATTATTGAACAACAACCATGTTCTCAATGAACCCAAAAAACTCATTAATATCAAAGCTGAATATTTTTGGAAGTAGTTTTTAGTTTGTTTTTAGTTATAGCTATGTTAGGGGGATATCTGTGTGTGCAGGTGACTATTACTGTGCATAATTATTAGGCAACTTAACAAAAAACAAATATATACCCATTTCAATTATTTATTATTACCAGTGAAACCAATATAACATCTCAACATTCACAAATATACATTTCTGACATTCAAAAACAAAACAAAAACAAATCAGTGACCAATATAGCCACCTTTCTTTGCAAGGACACTCAAAAGCCTGCCATCCATGGATTCTGTCAGTGTTTTGATCTGTTCACCATCAACATTGCGTGCAGCAGCAACCACAGCCTCCCAGACACTGTTCAGAGAGGTGTACTGTTTTCCCTCCTTGTAAATCTCACATTTGATGATGGACCACAGGTTCTCAATGGGGTTCAGATCAGGTGAACAAGGAGGCCATGTCATTAGATTTTCTTCTTTTATACCCTTTCTTGCCAGCCACGCTGTGGAGTACTTGGACGCGTGTGATGGAGCATTGTCCTGCATGAAAATCATGTTTTTCTTGAAGGATGCAGACTTCTTCCTGTACCACTGCTTGAAGAAGGTGTCTTCCAGGAACTGGCAGTAGGACTGGGAGTTGAGCTTGACTCCATCCTCAACCCGAAAAGGCCCCACAAGCTCATCTTTGATGATACCAGCCCAAACCAGTACTCCACCTCCACCTTGCTGGCGTCTGAGTCGGACTGGAGCTCTCTGCCCTTTACCAATCCAGCCACGGGCCCATCCATCTGGCCCATCAAGACTCACTCTCATTTCATCAGTCCATAAAACCTTAGAAAAATCAGTCTTGAGATATTTCTTGGCCCAGTCTTGACGTTTCAGCTTGTGTGTCTTGTTCAGTGGTGGTCGTCTTTCAGCCTTTCTTACCTTGGCCATGTCTCTGAGTATTGCACACCTTGTGCTTTTGGGCACTCCAGTGATGTTGCAGCTCTGAAATATGGCCAAACTGGTGGCAAGTGGCATCGTGGCAGCTGCACGCTTGACTTTTCTCAGTTCATGGGCAGTTATTTTGCGCCTTGGTTTTTCCACACGCTTCTTGCGACCCTGTTGACTATTTTGAATGAAACGCTTGATTGTTCGATGATCACGCTTCAGAAGCTTTGCAATTTTAAGAGTGCTGCATCCCTCTGCAAGATATCTCACTATTTTTGACTTTTCTGAGCCTGTCAAGTCCTTCTTTTGACCCATTTTGCCAAAGGAAAGGAAGTTGCCTAATAATTATGCACACCTGATATAGGGTGTTGATGTCATTAGACCACACCCCTTCTCATTACAGAGATGCACATCACCTAATATGCTTAATTGGTAGTAGGCTTTCGAGCCTATACAGCTTGGAGTAAGACAACATGCATAAAGAGGATGATGTGGTCAAAATACTCATTTGCCTAATAATTCTGCACTCCCTGTATGGCTGTAAACATTTCATTTGTACCCAAACTACCCAGCTGCTATTCAAAAGGGTCCAGTGTTTTTTTGTTTTTTTTTGTATTGAATTAATTACTCATTCTATTAGAAAATACTGTGTTCATTGTCGTTTTGCTACAATACCCTCGAACAATGCAATAAATAAATACTAAATAAAACACGTGCATTATGTGCATATTAAGATATTGCCACTATCAGCAGCCCAGTTAAGGGAACCTCAGCTTAAAGCCATTGCTTAAAAATAAGTGCAATACTATTTAGTGGCATGCCAACTGCATTGTTGGAAGCTGTTAATGCCAATGACATGTAAAGTAAAATATATATTTTATCTCCATCATCCTTCAACCTAATAATATGATGCATCAGATACCTTTGATTTTACTTGTATTTTTTCTTTTAAATGGACACTTCACTGTCCAAATACAGAATAAATAAAAATCAATGTTTAGTAGATATACCACAAATTAAAACTTGCATGCATTTAATTATGTATTCTTTCAGTGAGGATAGACCAACAATCAGCTTGCAAAACCTGTAGTTCTCTTGTCTGCTGCCTTTGCAAGCTCTCCCATTCTAACCCCACCCAGACTTTCTGTGGCTGCCCAATCAAAGACTTCCCAATACAGTTCAATGAGAAGTCTTTATAAGTCAGGTGATCTGGGCAATTGCTGCCTCTTGAGGTCAGCTGCATTGAGCTAACAAAACCAGGAAGTAACATTACCTGTTGTCTGCTTGAAAGCCAAGGAGGTGTAACCAGGTTAATTTATAAAAGTGTTGATTTCTATGGAAATCTGCACTTTTTGCGATAAAAAAACTCTTCCCACATAAAGCTTTTCAGCAAGCTTAAGTTGTTTAGGAATGACACTTTAAGTCCTAATAAGACATCACTTGTTACCAAGAAGCAATCTTAATCAAAAATATTTTGTATGTATTTCAGAATTTTTTTCTTT